ATGAGGCATTGGGGTTGTGTTGCTTGGCCTCCAGCTTCTTTGCAGCTGCAATTGGCTGCAAAAGCAACCTGTGTTTGCTGGAGGCAGAGGCCTGAGCAGCACCCACAAATCAGCTGTTTTGTGAATGGAGAAGCTCAGCTGATCCGATTAAGGGGCCAAGAAGCCCTGAGGTGACTGGGGAAGGGAATGATTGCCCCCTGTTCTGGCTAAACCCACCCCTTCACTAGGGCTTATTTTCAAGGGAGGGCTTATGTTTTTGCCCACCCCCAAAATCTGGCATGGCCTTATTTTCAAGACATTTCTTATTTTCGGGGAAACACGGTACTTAAATATTTACAAAATGTGATGGGGTGTACTCACTTCTGTGATATACTGGTATGTGCAACTGCAGAAAATAATATAATACATGCATTACATTTGAACAAGTCAAAGTTTGCAGTATATAAATATATCTATTTGCATAAGGTTATGCAGAAATACAAACATTTTCCATTTAGCATGCATTAGTTGACAAAGGTCAGCTAATCATTACATCACTACAACTGACACAGAGGTGACAAGCATTCAGTAAAAAATCTGGGATAAAATTTTGGTATAATGTAGAGTTTATGGGGCTGTATTTCAGTGATTATTTTAACAAATAAAGTGTACTTGCATGCTATGACCACCACCAACTACTGTTTAGCCATTCATTCTCCTTCCAAACAACACAACTACAAACTACTCATCCTTGGCTTATTTTCTGCTAGCAGACGGACTCAGTGCAATTATTATAAGAGGGGGGCAAAAAACCCAGAGAAGGGATCCGTAAATAAACTTTACTTCAAGTTATGGACTGGGTAAAATCAGAAATAATCACCAGGCCAAGTTGCATAATATAATTACCAAATCTAAATTATAAATCATCATTTATATCCCACAGTGCCTAGGTTCACACATTAGACAAAGACCTGACAATTTAGTGTACTGTCTGAACACACAGCGTTTTAGCATCTTTTTGTATAGGTTGTTCCGTCCTCATTGCTGAAAAGCCATCACCTTTCTTACCTCGTAAAAGAAGGAGTGTCCAGCCATGTCAAAGATATTCACTTTGATTTCTCGGTCTCTAATTTGCACTCTAAAAGGAAAAGAGTCCTAAGATGCAAGCATGGGCACTCTTGCTGTTACTAAGCTAGCATTAATAAGCATCACAATATCACAGTTGTGCCTCTAATAGAGTTAAGCATTGGTATAGTCATTAAAAATCAGAGGAAAAATGTCCAGGATTAATTTAAGGCAAGATGTAATTATTAAATAATCAACAAGAGGAGATACAAGAACCATCAATTAGGACACAGTAGCATCACAGTAAAGACTTGATCAGACTTTTAATAATTTTCCCATGCCATACACAAAAATACTTCCAGGAAAACATTCACTCGCCTCATAGTATATGCAATGGGATGTGCACTGAATCATCATCAACTTCAAAACTGCTACTGCGTTTTCCCGAAAATAAAACAGGGTTTTATTTTATTTTGACCTTCGAAATAAGCGCTTGGCTTTATTTTCGGGGAAACGCAGTAGCAGTTTTGAAGTTGATGATGATTCAGTGCACATCCCATTGCATATACTATGAGGCGAGTGAATGTTTCCCTGGAAGTATTTTTGTGTATGGCATGGGAAAATTATTAAAAGTCTGAT